CCTGCTGAATTACGTGCACAGGTGCCAAGAAGAAAAGTGAGCTGAAATCGGAAAATATGCCACAGAGATGAAATAGTATCAAGGGAAGTTATCCCCTGGAGCTTTGATGATACGATTTATTTTCAGGTTGATCTGTTTGGCTTGCCACTCAAGAGGGTTTAGTTTCTCAAGTGTCAAGACCACATCTTTCCTGATGCCCGACTTAGAAGATGTGGCCACACCCTGAACCCAGCAGACAGTATAATAGTAAAGCTCCAGTGTCTTGGGCTATTTGGTTTTCTTTTTGAAGTAACTAAAGAGAGTTTCTTTGTTAGGTCTCTAAGCTCTGCAGGGGTGTCCAACTAAGGAATACACTACTTGAAAACTTAGATATAAAGCATATAGTTCATCTCGAGTATTTGTTGTATCGATGTCATATACTCAGATGCCTCAGGCCTAAGCTATGCTTTTGGACCCCTCCCTCCTGGGGTGCTGTCCTTTTGGGGATGAAACCCTCAGGTTCCAATTGGATGGACAGGACTTCTGTGACCTGAGAGAGCTCATGTAGCACCTTCAAGGCACATCTTCTCTAAAAAAAAAAGGCAGAGCTGTGATAGTCAGGTTCAGGATTCTCATCTCAGTTCGGCAATATCTCAGATCATGACAGGTATGTATAGGAAACTCAGTCATTTGGCAGAATATTAGACCAACCTTTGAAATTTTTTAAAGGACCTTTCAGCTCAATTTCCATCTCTGTTCTCAAAAAGTTTTATAATTGTCACGAATTTGGATACTATTATGCAATGGTTTCACTATTTGTTTTTAATAATTGGCACTGTTTTGTTATATAGCTCAGCTTTAACACATAAATAAACAAAACAGGAAGTACCTGAGGCATTAGTAATTTTATAAAAGATATTTTTTCCATTTCTCCTCCAAATATATTTTGGCTTCCATTAAAAAAAAATCAGTTTTTTCCGTCATAATCTCATCAAGGTATAATTAACCTGTGATCATAGGCTTATGCTCATTTTTCATATTAACTATTTCCTAAGATCGATACTCTTGGGCATCACTCAGATTAATCGATAAGCCTGGCATAGATGGTTCTACAGGAATTGATTATTCTTACTGGTGCTGGAGATAAAATCTTCATCATCATCAATGCCTGATCCAGAATAACTGGGGTGTCTGTCACTTTCATCTTCATTTTCTTCTCTTGGCTCCCAGCCTGCTGAGATGATATTTGAATCCGTACCTGTTGTGGTGACTTGCATTAGTGGCTGAGCTGGATGCCAAGCAACCCATTTGACAAAGGAAGAAAATCAAGCACAGAATGTATAAAAGAATTCCCAAGATCATAAAAAGAAAGTGAGAGATTTGACTTCTATACCCCAAATTCTTATATTCTGGTCTCTGAAGCTAATGTATAGATCTAAAAACAACTGGCTATGATCTTTACAACTGAACACTCTTTTTAAGGAAGTTAAAAGAATAAATATGGACATAACCCCACCAAACAAGTAAAAGAAAAAAAAAGGCCAATAAACAGAGCCCCATGCTTTCAGATGCATTTATTATTAACTTATTAACCATATGCCATGAAAGCTAGGGTGTCAAGAATAGAACAAGAAGGTTTCACACGTGCCTATTTGCTTTATCAAGCCACCTTCAGTAAAACCTTGGAATCTAAACACGTTAGTCATTTCTAAAAATCCCTTAGTTGTACTCACTATTTGCTATTCACCCAGCTACGAGGTTTGATCTTCTCTAGCATTCGATTACTGTAGCTCTGAACGCAAATGAAAGCTATACTGCAGTTCCCATCAATACTTTAGCATGTAGCCAAAAAAATAAATAAATAAAATTAGTCAATTAACAGAGAAATTTTGCGGGGCATTTATTAGTCAACCAAAAGGGTTGACTAGAATGGATTGTAGCCAATATTTGGGAAAATTCTCACTTTTTCCCTTTTGGATGCAATCCTAGGAAAGGAGGTGGAAAGCCTCCACCTCTTTGCAGTGGTTACTGTAGATGTCTCTTTACTAGAAAGGGGTTTCCTATATTTTGAATGAGATTCATGCTATCTTTCAGAATGACCATTTATCTTTGCATCCTATGAGTATCTATCCCAAAAACAGTTCCATTGATGGAGATTTTTGTTAGCTCTCCCTATGCTATTTTATTTTCTCATGAAAAGTCAAGAACTTTTTTATCACTTCAGTCATTTTATAACATCTTTCAGAGTCAAAGTTTTGTTCTGTCATTGAGAAAGACCTAGCCCCCTTCTCCAGTCCCCATATTAGCCTCCTCCTGGGCTACATTAATTCTATAGAACAGAAAGAAGAAATCTGCTTATTAGTACTAAGAAGTCAAACATATAGATCTCAGAGTCATGAAAAACATTTGTGAAAGCAGCATGAACTTTAGACTTTGACAATATCCCCGAGGTCAATGAAAATTACTGAAGACTGCCAAGAAAACATACGAAATGAGATAATAATAACCCGTTACCAGACATTATTGTTGTGGTGTGAAGATGAATCTTGGATGTTGATGGCTGAAACCACCAAGAAAACCAATCCTGGGCTTCTTGCCTCTTGGTTGCTGTTTTGGAAGTTGTACCACTAGTGCTCATCAAAGCTGTTGTAACCATAATTGAATTGATTGTTGAAAGGTTAATTATCAGTGCCTAAGAAATAGCACTGTATGTGCTTTCATTCTTTTACCACTCAAGAGTCATCTATACGTGATACAGATCGCGGAAAGAAAGAGAAAAAGCACAGAAGTTCCATTTCTTTCCAAGGCCCAAACCGGGGTTCATAGAATGTCAGAGATGGAAGGACCTTAAACAGCATCTGGTTCATGCTCCTCAACTCAAAGATGAAAAAGCTGTGCTGGACAGACCTTGACTTGTCTGAAGTTAGGATGATTAAACAAGAGAGGCGTCTCGAGGAGAGCATGAGAGCTGTCTTTGAATTGTGAAAGGCTATAACATAAACAAGGGATTAAATTTTTGTTTGTGTTCCTAAAAGGTCAAACTAGGACCTGTGGTGAGAATTTCAGGGAGATCAATATTCTTCCAGATGTTAGATTTAAAAAGGTAATAATCTGAACTCTCCAACAATGACAGTATTATGCAGAAAGTATTATAACCCCCACCATCAGAAAGAGCACTTAGCAGGAAAATTGTGTCAAGAGATCGAACGATTGGAAATGTTGATGGAACGAGACCGTTTAAGATCCTCTCCACACCTGAGAGTCTTTGATGCTAAAGGATGATGAGTCCTCGCCCATCATGTTCTACACATTCTATCTTCGTCAACCAATATCATCCTCCAGGAATTTAGGGTATGACCCTTCTGCCAGCAGTCCCACACACATAGCCCCAGCAACCCCTGATACGTGGGAGAAGACACATGAGGTGGAAGCCTGAAAGAGATGCCATTCCACTTTAGTTGGCATCCAAATTCCCTAGCAGCCTTGCCCATGGTCACTTTTATATCAACACTAGATTTTGCAAAGCAGAACAGAACATTTTGAGACCCAGTTTTTGAAAATAGGATAATCAATCAGGAAAGACAGACGAAGATGAAGTGACCCAACGATCTCACTAACAAGACCAGAAGCAAGAGTCTTGATTTGAAAACTTCCAAAGACTAACATTTCTGCAAGCATGATGTGCATCAGAAGAACAGTAGAGAATAGTAGACAAAAAACTGAAGAAAGTTCAAGCAGAGAGGCTGAAATCATCATTAAATCGCCAAGTACAAAAGTAAAGTGAATTAGATTTCTTTTTTCCAGTTATCAAGAAAGCCCAGAAGTCACAAGACGAAGTACTGACAAGACCTTTTCCTTCACAGTGTTTGTATTATGAAGATGAACATTATCCACATTTTAAAAATACCATTTTTTAAATTCTGCAGTCAGTCTCTCTCTCTCTCTCTCTCTCTCTCTCTCTCTCTCTCTCTCTCTCTCTCCAGCATTACCTTAATCAGTATGATATGCAATCATAACATAACATCAGTACTATTTTCCTCACAGGAGTATTTGTCAAAATAAAAAATACAGTTTATTCAATGTATTATAAGCTAAGCAAATGTAAAGGACCATTTTTATAACTCTTTTCCTGCATAAAAAATGCTTAATTATTTTGAAATATGGCCATATCCTCCATCAATGAAAGTTAATAAGTGAAGATATGCTTATAATATCCCATTGTTATAGACTTTGAATCTTTTTTTCCACAAAAGCTCTCAAACTCTCAAAAACACTTTATAGTGATTTAGAATTAACAGTCAAACATCCAGGGAGCTTTTTAGAGACCCAGATTTTGATATAAAGCAACAGGTCACTTCCCACACTTTATAGTTGAGGTATCAGATGTCCAAACAATTGTTCAGGGCCTATACTTTCCATCTGTACATCAGTATTTTCCTCTATTATTATTACTGGCTGTGATAATTAGATCAGTGGAAAGTAGGAGTATGCATTTTATAATAGACTTCTTTTAAGAGGACATGTTCTGAATTAATCTCTTAATTGAAGCTCTGAAGGAAAAATAATTCTGATTCTATGTACGTGTTGCCAAAGGAAAACAAGTAGGACATTGGGCAGAATCCAGTCATGTCCCCAGATCCGTGGGCCTCTGTGTTAAATGAAATGGTACGAAGATCCTGTTCTAAGGATGGTGACAGAACATCAGTAGGAAACTTCAGCATGATAATGGTGTCCTTTCTCTTAACATTGAAAGGCTTGGCATTTAGGGCAACAGATAAGCAAAAGACATAACAGTCTACCTGCCATTGCTGTTGTTGTCTGATCCTGGGTCTTAGGCTGTGAATTACCAAATGAGGGTCATATCCAATTATTTTGCTCCCGAGCTGCTGCATGGCTGTTTGAGTGCACCGTTGAAGTAACTGGATCAATTATGAAAATATCATTTTGTGAGGTCTTTCTAGAAAACCTTTACTCTCAGTCCTGTCTATATAAAATGTATGTATATATTATAGAGTGAAGATTAGACAAGAGTGAGGCCTGATTTTATCTTTCCAGTCTCCTAAAGTCTCTTAGAATCTTAGGACAACATCAGACGTGCAAATTCTGTATGGATAACCACAGAGTGCTACCCATTCTTCAAACTGAGACCCCTGAATACAGGCTCAGAACAAACCCAAGTAGCAACTGAATAACCCGTGATGGAAAAGAGATTTTATAGCTACCTGATTGGGTGACCCAGCCATGAACTGGATCATTCATTTATTTTCAGAATATCTTTAGAGGTGCTTGCTTGTATCTTTTGGATCTATCATTTTACCCAGGAAGCTTGTGATGACAGCTGGCATTTCAAAGTTCCACCCACACTCATTAATCTCAAGTCAAGCTTTATACTTGAACAGAAACTTTGCAAAGGGTGTGTATTCAAAGTGTTGAAATCAGATAAAGCTTTGTCAAGTATCCATCTAACACTTTCTGTCACTTTTAATTCTAATTCAGAATGTGTTTCCGGAAAAGAAACACAACTGCCCAAGTTAGAGAAATTCTGGACTCTATTCAAATTAGAGAAAGGATAATCGGTGCTGTTTTACAATTTGAAATCTCCCACTTGACTTTCAAGCTAGACTTGAGTCAAGAATGTTTCCCTGTAGAATGGCAAAGGTCACCAGGGTAAACATCTGAACCAGGTGAGATTTTTAAAGACCATTTTGAGTCATACGTGCCCTTGAAAATCTGGTATAAGTTATTGCTTCTCTCCTCGAAAAACAGATCCTACACATACGTTTTCTCAGAGTTTTGCATATTTTTTTGGGTGGCTCTTAAATAGCTTATGGCCTATCATTGAACCTACTGGATGTCCATGAACTCCAGGTTAAAAGCTTTGACTTTATACACACCCAATGTCAACTACCTACACAACATGCTCTATGCTACAAAGGACACATTTGCACAGAATAGACTAGAGAGATTGGAACCAGGTTCACCACTGATGCCCCCAGATAAACCTGGGCATCCCCTTGGAAAATATGCAGATTTTCCACTTTCCACCACTTTCTCGGTAACTTTATTAAAGATGCAGAACTCTGGCCACCCTCACCCTATAGTGCATCAGATAGAGACCAACAGGAAGCAAACATACAAAAGTAAGACAGAAATAGGCATTATTTCTGTCTTCCTAAAAAGAGGTGTATGAGATTTGGGGAAAATGAAAAAAGCTACTGCCAAGACAGCAGAGTTTTCAATTTTCCCCACCCAAGTAGATAATGCCAGACCAAAAAATAATAATAATAATAAAAATTTAAAAAATATATATTTATATATATACACACACACATATATATTTTTCTTTTACACCCAGAAGACAAGGAACTAGAGCGTTCCAAGGCAGGAGTCTGCTTCCTGAATTAGTTTAAGTTTTTGGATTCCAAAGAATTCCTGATCACCAATAGAAAAAAGGCTTATGACATGCCTCCAGGAAAGTACTTCCAAAAACAACATTTACAGTAGAAAGCCTGCTGGAAGTCAAAACCTACCCAGATGGTCGTTCTCACTGGCTCTCCCTATTGCCACCCACTAAGGACCCTTAAGGATGGAATCAGCCACACAAGCCAAAGATACTCTTCTCTGTGCTCAGCCAGCCCTCCTCTTGACCTCTGCCCTCCTGTACGCATTAGAGGGGATTTGCAATCACTCCCTCCTGGTAAGTCCCAACTCTGAATCCAACACTCATGAGGTTTTGGGATTCTCCTCACTGGGCTTAGAAACTATGGTCTATTCATGAACCAGTGCTAACTTGTTTGAGTACACCATACGCTATGTTCAAGTTTCTACCTGATTCTTTTCTTTGACACCTTTCTTCCCATGAGCTGATTTATTTGGCGCTGCCCTAATGGGTTCTATAGCACTCTCAGGTTGGCTCTGGACTCACTCCGCTGGGCATACAAGTCTCTCTCTTCCTAAACTACTGAAACTTAACTAAGTGCTCTGGAAAGAGGAAAACACAATTCTTTTCTCAAGCCAAATCCTGAACTATTTGTAGTTAGGTAAGCATACTTTTAGCTAAATCATTTCCTTGATTTCTGAACAGTATATAGGCTCCATGAAGGTAGGTCCAACTCTGAGTCCCTAGTAACTAGAGCAATGTCTTGCACAGAGGAGACCTCAAATACCAGTTGAATGAATGACTAGGTTACTAATCCTTACTTCTCCTCAATATTACTTTCTGATGGTGTTTACCAATAGGTTCCAGGCATTAGAATAGCTTGGTACATAGTAGGTCTTCAAAATATGTTTGCTAACTAAGGCAGGAGAGGCGCGGTCCTTTAAAAGATGTGCTATGAATGTTTATAAAATGTCCTCATTGCCTTTTTTAAAGGACATGTGAAATACTGTTTCTCTATAGGCTGTCAGCAGCTTGAAGGTTAATTTCATCTGGTTCCCACAAGATATATTTTGTCACTATTTTCTTCTTTGGTGGGAAATGGTACTTTAGGATAGACCCGATCTGCTTCCTGCTAAATGGTACTTTAGGATAGACCCGATCTGCTTGCTGCTGAGACCACTAGTTGTTGCGTTTGCCAACATCTGACAACTTTTGTCCTGATGACAAACCCCTTCAATGTGGCTACTTTACGAAGGCAGGGAACTCAAGAAGCAGCAAGTAACTAGCAGCCCACCTGCCTGGTTTGCAGAAGCTTCTCTCAAGAAGGGTTGTCCATGGGATTACAGACAATACAGTGACACAATCTTCAGAGAGCCAATAATCTGGGAAATCATGGAAAGTTTGAAAATATGTGCTTTTTGAAATGTTTCAAAGAATCTGAGGAGAATGATCACAACCCAGCCCTATTTGTATCACCCTTCTCAGCAAGATGCTAACAGAAATTTAAGACACTGTTGAGAAAGTAACCTTACATTAAAACCTAAGTGTCCATCAACAGATGAATGGATAAAGAAGATGTGGCACCTATATACAATGGAATATTACCCAGCCATAAATAGAAACAAAATTGAGTTAGTTGTAGAGAGGTGGATGGACCTAGAGACTGTCATACAGAGTGAAGTAAGTCAGAAAGAGAAAAGCAAATACCGTATGCTAACACATATATATAGAATCAAAAAAAAATTGGTTCTGAAGAACCTAGAGGCAGGACAGGAATAAAGACGCAGACATAGAGAATGGACTTGAGGACATGGGGAGTGGGAAGGGTAAGCTGGGACGAAGTGAGAGAGTGGCATGGACATATATACACCACCAAATGTAAAACAGATAGCTAGTGGGAAGCAGCCGCATAGCACAGGGAGGTCATCATGGTGCTTTGTGACCACCTAGAGGGGTGGGATAGGTTGGGTGGGAGGGAGGGAGACGCAAGAGGGAAGAGATATGGGGACATATGTATATGTATAACTGAATCACTTTGTTATAAAGCAGAAACTAACACACCATTGTAAAGCAATTATACTCCAATAAAGATGTTAAAAAAAAAAAAATCCTAGTGCTCTGGTGATTTCTCTGGCTTCTGAGTAATGAGGAATAGAAAAGGGCCCTGTCTGGAGCATTTGCAAACCAGTAAGTTTCTGCCACACTCTTTGAAGACCCGAGTTCCACCCCTTGAGAGCCATAGCCAGGAAAAGAGAAAATCCACACCATAGTAGGAAAGCTGCTGAAGAGGCAGATGCCCTATTTGAGCGTGAATAATCCTCCACAGAAGGAACGCAGCCCATCTGGAAACCTGATTTAAAACAAACCACAGGGTAAAAGCAAAGAAGGAAGCAGAGAAGGAGACAAGGGGAAAATGTAAACACTTTCCAATGCAAGTGAAGCACCAAGGCCAAAAACCCAAAGAAATCTAATGCAGTGTTTACATATTTGCACTCTAGCTGTCCCAGAGTAATGTCACCCACATAACCAAGCAAGAATTAAGAACCTTCCCCTACCAGCTGGGATAGCAAACTTTGAAGCAGATTACTTTGATCAGATAACTCCTTCAGGTATGGCTTCCTTAGACCAAAACCAAAGGAATTGCTTAGCAAATCATGGGTGGTGAATATGACTAATTATTACTCAATTAATAATATGAATATAAATCAGGTTAAAACCTAAAAATATAAAATAAAACTGAGAAAAGTAGCAGATGAAATGGCATGCATATGCTATGATCACAACTTTATGAAAACAACCTTATCCACAGATGGATAAGAACAAGAAGGAAACATGCAAAAATGAAAATAGCTTCTGCATCAGGCTTGAATTGTCACCATATCTCTGGGACAAGAGAACAAGGGAAGTTCTTCTGAAAAACTTCCAATATGGTACTTCTTGTAGATGAAAAAAAAAACGGTAGGCAGTAGCAGCCAATGCATATGGTGCACTGACAACCACAGCAGCCCGCCTCCCCAGATGATGTCACCACCTTCTAGAGACGGAGGCAATCAACAGGTGAGTGGGGATCACTCAGGAAGAGCAGAGACGTTTTTTGCAAACGAATCGCTATTGGAAAGCACAGTGATTCATTCTCCTTACTGGTAGCTGGGGTAGTCTCTGGGTTGCTGGGGACCCAGGGACTATCTTGGTCCGGGGTCGGGTACACGGTTGGAAGATGGGTGTGGAAGATGTTGTAGCCCCCTGAAGTGCTTCTCTCACTGGGGGATCCACTGCTCATGTCCTCCTCGGGAGTGGTGCTGGGGTTGATGTCATCGGGGTTAGTTCTGTATTCCCCTTTCTTGGTGTACCGGGTGCCATCACGGTTAACAATAGCTGGGAGACAGAGAAGGCACTTTCAGAGCTGGACAGCTGACGTTTTCCGACTGCAGGAAAACTGTGGCTTATCTTAGAAGACCTCAAAGCGATTCTTCTTTTTTATGAAGCAAACCAACACCTACCTACCTCTCTAGTTGCGGGGATAGAGTGACCGATGCACTAAGAAAGTGAACTCTCCCTGCCCACCCACACACCCTGGAGATGCGGAGGGGGAAAGAGGGTGTGTTTGGGAGTCCCCAGGTTCAAATCCCAGCTTCGAGTGGCTCTAGACAAGGTAGGTAACCCTCTGAGCTTCAGCTTCATCATTTGTAAAATAGGGATGATACTACCTTCCGCTATGAGCACTGTATGATATGTTGTATGGAAAGTGCTTAGCGTAGTATTCAAGACAGAGTTGGTGCTCAATAAGTGATAATTCTCCTGCCTGGTCCCTACCCTCCCTTCTCAAGTGCATGTGATATTTGTTGCTATTAATTCCATCTATTTCGAGAAAGG